CCTGGGAAATGTCCCCCCCCCCCCCACTGCCCCACATGAAAGAGTATTACTTCTCTTTAATTTTCTTTTTGAAAGAGTAATTAGAGTTTGAATAGTTGACATTGCCAGTCTTACTTACTTTTTTTTTTTTTTCTGATAAATCCCATGTGCTTTTTACCTTACAGTTGAATGAAGTCATCTGTGTTTTGGAATATTGGGAAAATGCCAGAATTTTCTCCATTCTTGATTCCCATCGCCTAAGTCCCCTCCTTTCATTTTTATTGATTCAGACAAAACACTCTGTTTGTAAAATATAGTAGTTTCTGTTAAATCTAGTAACAGAGAAGTAAGGACTTGAATTCCCTCCCCTTAACAGAAGTTTATTATTACCTTTTTCAAGGGAATTGTTTGGAAGACTTTTATCATACCTCAGAATGTCTCCTAGAAATGCCCCCAGGAAGATCAGGGGAGGAGGAAGCAGGGAGAAGGGATTTTTTTGCTTCATCCAAGACCTAATATATAGATGACCTCTTTCTTAAAAAGAATGCCATTCTACCCCCACATCTACAGGGGTGGTACCGACACTTATCTGGAGAAGGAAATGGCAACCCACTCCAGTATTCTTGCCTGGAGAATCCCATGGACAGAGGAGCCTGGCAGACTAAAAATCCATGAAGTTGCAAAGTTTGACACAACTTAGAGACTCAACAACAACAATAAAAAAAAACAACTGACACTTACTGTGTTTAATTAGACTTTGATACTATTTGATTAATTTTTGGCTTGACTTTAATATTATTTTAAAAATAAACACACAAATGGCTCTTTCATTCATAAACTGAATTCTGTGTTGGAGAAGCAGACATGAGAGGAGACAGGAAATCTTGGTTTGCTCTCATCCTTAAGTCACTTGCTCTCTGAGATGTAGTCCCCTGGGTTGGAAAGGCTGTATCAGTTCCCTGAGACTCCTACATCTTATCATCCAATATGTATACAATGTCTGTTCTTCAGAAATCCCACCCACCAGAGGACTATATTACTATTTAGTTTCTTATCCATTAACCTTTCAGCATGAATGCAAGCTTTCTGGTAAGATCTGTTCCATGATAGATAAGGAAATAGTGTAATCAAGAAGAGCAAGTAAAAATTGCTCAACTCTGCAGGGTCAAAATATACAAAGACTTTGGAACTCTCAATCTCCCATCCCTAACTAACAAGCATACTCACAATCCCAGCCCCCTCAACCAGGTAACCCATGACAGCTCTTTATTTCCAGCTTGGCCCCTGGATGGTGCCAGGTAAGTCTTTCAAATCTGCTTCTAAACCTGTGAACATCAACATTTGCTAAACTAACTTTCAGAACCAATCTTTCCGTGGCTAATCACAGACTGGCTAATAGGAAACTATTCATCTCCTTAAAGAATGGTTGACATGGATGCCCCAGAAGATGTTCAGTGAGATCCATGAAAGGTGGAGTAAGGTCAGAGTAGGCTGTGAAGTGGTAAAGGTCTGTTCCTGCCCTCCTGTGAGACCAGGATGAAACTTACTTTCACTTTTTTACTCTGGAGACAGTTAAGAAAGACTGGAAAACAGATTGGGGAAAACTGCTATTTGCTTCTAGGAAATCTGTAACTACAGGAATATCAGGACATCACAATAGTGCATTCAGCTGCCTCAAGCCTCAATAATGTGCAGCATATCCAGAAAAACAAATCTCCTGGGCAAATCTTCACATGTGCTGTGGGCTGAAGCCTTCATTCCTATGCAACAGTGGTACACAGTGCATGATGACTTCTGCTTTTCTTTTCCTTTCAGAACTTCCACAGGAATTCCTCTCATTGGTAGACTATAACTCCAAATCTGGCTAGCAGAGAGTCTTCCATCCATTGGAATGCAGAGAAGAACATAGAGAAGAAAAAATAATTCTAAGTGGCTGATGGATGAGTTGGTATAATGTCCACTGGTCATTTTTATAGTGGTGTTTCCCCTTTTTGTCTCATTGGTTTGTAAGTACTCTTTACACATTATGGCAGCCCTGAAAATGTGCTGTCAAGATCTCCTGATGCATAACTGACTGACAGTCCCACATTTTGTCCTTCTGGATCCATCCCTGTGCGCATGCTATACTTCTACAGGCTACTCCCAACCAGTGGCTAAGCATAGAAGAGGTTCTAATGCAGGCCTGTTACTGTAAGACCTGGGATTTCCTGAATGGGGGACTTTGTCTCGTGTGCTCCTCATTGGCTGGCCAAAACTTTCTTCTAACTGTGCAGCAGTCTGATATATTTCTTTCCCAGGACTTCTTCCCTTTCACAGGATTCTGACTTAGATCATAGCTGGAAGGCTCTCTTTCTTCAACTTTCTCTTTTTCCTTCACAGGAATTTTCCCCTTATATCTTTTGCATGATTAATTATGTCTTGGTGTCTGTTTACTGGGCTACAAAATTAACATATATATTAATGATGTCAGCCCTTTGTGATATATGCTGAAATGAAATATATATGATATATGATATAAATGATATATATATCAATTATATATGATATAAATGCTATATAAATGATATATGATATGAAATATATATATATTTCTTCCAGCCACAGATATTTAAAGGAAAACACCTCATGAATTTATATATACATATGAATTCTTAAATAAAACATAAGGAATAGAATTTTTGAAAAAATTGACAAATTTCCATCAATATTCAATACTTTTCAGTTTGATAAAAGATACAAAAGGGCAAGATTAAAGTATAACTTTAATTGGGAGCAAATATTGTAAAATGTATAACACAATAAAATTATTTTCTGGAGTATATATGTTCTACTGTCTAACCTTTGTCATTTCTGAAAAGTCAGACAAATTTATATTATTTTGTCACTGTAGATAGTATATAGTTTTTGTTTTCTAACTGATTCACATTGGTCAGCTGATGAAAATGTGACCAGAGGCTTGCAGGAACCTAACCCTGAATTTCCCAGGAATGGTTCCTACTCACTAATTCAGTGTTTGCAGTGACTGTATAGAACATAACTACCGTAAGTGTGAATAAACTGTGTATGTCTGTCTGGGTATGTCCGTACACACACACATACACAGTGTGCATATGCACATGTATGTAGATAATCCAGAATTTATAATTGTTATATGCAGGATTACTATGACAAAATACTCCACTATTTCCAGAAGCTAGAAATGTCATTTGAATTTTAATGAGTTCATTGATTTTCAACAAAAATCTTACCAGAATTTTAGTTGTAATTGCAAGAGTTAGATTGTAGAGAATAACATATTTGTAATAGTTCTATTTATCCTCCTACTCAAAATATATTCTTTAATAATTAAGACAAATTTTTTTCATAAGCATCTGGCCTGACTTTGGTTAGTAATTTATAGATAATTTTTATTTCTTGTTCCTATTATAAATAGTGTCTTTTCCTTATTTGATTTGCTGATATATGGAAATGGCCTTAATTTTTGTACATTGATCTTATGTACTGAATTTCTTTCATTTCTTTTTCCTTTCAAAAATTAATATTGATTTTTAAAATTTCTGGATCATCTTGGATTTCCTACAAAGGCAATTATCTATATTTAGTTAACAACTTTATGTCTTTCTTTCAAATGCTTACACCTCTTCTTACTGCTTTTATATTTAATTATAGCCCCAGTATAATGTTGAATTTTAGGGATAATTATAAACATTCTTGCCTTAATCCTTACTTAAATGGGAGTGCTCCTAGACTTCCAATAGTTAGGAAGATGTTTGTATATCTTTTGCTAATAATTTGTTAAATTGGTTCCCATCTATTTCTAATTTGCTAAGTGGCTTTTTAAAATTCTTCTCACTCCTAAGGTTTTATGATTTTTCACTTTTAATTTATTAATATGGTGAATTACATAGATTGATTTTTATACTGAATATTTTTCTGCTCTCAATTTATGAATACTACTTAGTCCTAATATAATATTTTATTTTATATACTTTAAATTCCATTTTTGGTAATTTATTCATAATTTTTTCTAGTGCTATTTACCAATAAGATTGGACTATGATTTTCTTTTCTAATATTTTATTTATTCTGCTTTGAAATTATAATTGTACTCACCAAAAAAATGATATCTGGCTCTCCCTCTTTTTCTGTTCTCTTGGACAGTATAAATATAT